TTGGCTTTCCCACACCTAAAAAAGCGTTCGAAGAAATACTCAATAAGAATTTCGATTATGACAACCTCCAGATCGATGTGAATGATAAAATAAAAAGAGCAAACCATGTGAAGGCCGGTCTCTCAAAGAATAAGGAGGCAAACAGATACAAAATAGATGATATCGTGCGTCAAGTCAACACATTGAAAAAATATGCTGAGCGCATAAATTTACTCTCGGGTGGTGAAAAGATTCTTGTCACGCAAGAGGGTAAGGGAAAGGGTAAGCGTAAATACACGCAAAAGAAGCGAAATGCTTACAAGGTTGATAGCAAAGGACAGTACGGTGGTCTCCTCATCAACCCAAATCGATTAATAAATGAAATGGTGGTCGAAGCGTGTGATCCTTCGACCGGCGCTGTTGTTTATGAAAGACAGGGTGACAAAGGGATCGTTGATCTGTTGACAAAGAGATGTAATCCCGAAGGAAAGTATTCGTCAAAGGCGATTCAAATATTCAAAGATTTGAACAAGCTTGCAAATATTCCGGTTCACAAATCGTCTGGAAAAGCGAAACTCCTCGAGGGGCAGCGAGCGGCAGCGAGTGACCGAGTGACCGAGAGGCAGGTGTTAGGTGGCGCCATTTTCTCTGATTTCAAAGATTTGAAAGACAGACTCATTAAATTGTCAGGGAGTATCGATGCTGGTAATTCAAGTATTCAGTTGAGAAACGAAGCGATGGAAATATTGGATCACCTCCTCAAAAAGAAAAAAATTTCGAAAAAACAATATGATTCCTATATACAAAAACATCTGTCATAAAAGCAATTAAAAAGTAAATGATGGAATTGATGGAATTGCCGATATATCTCAACTCTTTGACTTGTGCGAAAGGTTCAAGCCATAATTTCACAACATCTTTCAATCCTGTGATGAGGCTCGATCCAAACAGGGAGTATTTTGTTGCTCTCGATGAAGTTGCAATGTCATACAGTTGGTACAATGTGAGTAGCAGCTATGATAACAATAAACTGAAATATAGCCACGATTCGGGCAATACGTGGCACGAGATTGAACTCCCAAATGGAAATTTTGCATACTCTGAATTGAACGCTTATGTTCAGAGAGAACTTGAGGGAGCAAAACATTCAAAGACGGGCATTACAATAAAATTTGTTCCAGCACTTCTCAAAGTTCTGATCGGTCTCGAAGATGGTTATCAAGTCGATGTGAGGGGTGGAAATTTTGCCGATCTCATTGGATTTACAAAAAAGATCGTCACAGTAACCAGTTATGGTGAGAAATCACCCGATATCACAAGATCTGTTGATGACATTTACATTCGCACAAACATAATCTCAGAGAATGTTGTTGGCGGTAAACAATCGGATGTGTTGTTTCGATTCAGCGTTGACAATCTCCCCCTCTCTTACCCTTTTCATATAGAGCCGAGGGTAAAAAAGTATAGTAAAATAAATACACGGACTATAAGAGATTTACAAATTTACATCACCGATTCACTGGGAAGACCGATCGATCTCAACGGAACGAGTGTATCATTGACACTTCTCCTGAAATAATGCGAGAGGGTACCCCGCACAAAGTGCAGCCCTTCGTGCTCCCCATTATTTTTATTTAGTATTTTATTTCTTGCGAATGAAATAAAATGGGACGAAAACTTATGAAAATAGATGCCGATGGCAAATACACAATATACAATATCGACGACAATCACCCACTTCAAGAGGGGGAGGGGATATTTGACACTCTCAAAAATGTTGGAATGAAAATTGCCGCAAAAGTCACAGGAAAAGCTGCAAAAGAAATGGCTAAAAAAGCGGCCACGAAAGCGTTTGAAAAGGGAGCAGAGCAAATCGGTGAAAAGACAGGGCAGTTAATCGGTGAAAAGATTTATGACAAGTTTTCAAATCGAGAGACCAACCCCTCAAAACACGAAGCTCCACTAGTCACGCAAACACCGCAAGGACCGCAAGGACCGCAAAGCAATATTGGTGAACAGCTTGCGAAAGAATTACAAGCAGACATGCAGAAAGAAATGGTAAAAGATACACGAGGGGTAAAAAATTAAAAAGTTGAAAAAGATGATCTCTTTGACGATTTTGATGAACTTTTTTTGTAAACTTTTTCGTGAAAAAAAAAATATCTTATCTTTTAAGAAAAAACAAATAAATACAATGTCTTCTATGCGAACTAAAAAATTTGCAAAGGGGCATGAATATTCTTCATATGACCTTGATACTCCTCTCCAATCTGCACCGGCAAATAACAATTATCAACAGAAAAAAGGATATAAATTTACTGTTGATACAAAAACAGCGTCAGAGGCCGTGGCCGATTGGTTCAATGCGTATTTTGAAATGGATTTCAAAATTACAAAAATGGATAACACAACCTATGGTGCGGCCGATGCAGCAGCAATAATCAACGGTGGCTTTAGTATGATAAAAGACATCAAAGTTGATTTTGAAAAGGGGAGAGTTCTTGATTTGCCAAGTGCAAATCATGCAGCTAATATGAAAAATCTCACAGAATTTTCGAAAGAACATTCAGATCAAGTGGGACCTCCACAATTTCACTATCTCGACACAGCCTCTGGAGCGGTGATACAAAAGTATACAGCACTCGCCGTTCCGATCGCTGCCGGTCAAGATGTAAACAGAACACCCACAGACAATGCTGATTACAATGAAGGCTTTGCGACAAGAAAGACTCTTCTTGCAGCGGGTGCTGAAAACAACATTCATCTTCCACTCAACCGTTTCGGTTTTTTCGACTCTCTGGAAGAGCAGATACCTCCCAATGCAAAGGTTACTTTCGATGTAACTCTTGAAGAAGATAATGAGGTGCTGTTCAGATCAAATGCGGCCGCGGCGGGCAGATACATCGTCACAAAATTTCGTTTGTGGGTTCCGATGATCAATCTGAATGACGCAGGTCAAAAGTCGTATATAGATAGCTTTCTCAAACCACACACATGGTCTTATCAGAGAGAGCAAATCAGTGTTTCAGGACCGCTTAGACAAAAAAATGGAAAATTCAATATCACAAGAGCTGTTGATAGGCCAAGGCATGTCTTCGTTTGGGTTCTGAATGCCGCCAAGTTTGACGATCAAGAACAAAACATGTTTGTATTCAACACTTATAACATTGCAAACGCGAGGTATTTTACAAAAGCACAACTTCGCGTTGAGAATGGTACAAGGTATCCTGATCAGGAACTTGATCCTAGCAGTGAGCTGGCAAGAGCATGGAAATATTTTGCGAGTTATTCAAAACTTGCAAGCAACAGCTTGTTCGGTCCAGCGATCACTATGAAACAGTTTCAAGATCTCTATGGAGTGCTTTACTTTGATTTGACAAAGCAGCCGCCAGAGATCATGAAAGCTGCAACAAGACTGGACTTTGAGTACAGTCTCAACAACACTACCAACGCAGATTATCACATCTATGCGTTGATTCTCAATGAGGAGGAAATCAGTGTTGATGTTATGAGTGGAAAAGCACTCATCAGAAAGTAATTCGATGCGAGAGGCACCCCGCACAAAGTGCAAACCCCTTCGTGCCGCCCCTCGCGCTCCCCTGCGAGTGAGATTTTTTGAAAATTTTTTATTATGTGGTGTACATAATAAAATGACAAAGTATTATCCGTACAGCGTAACTCTTTCTGATAATCAGAAAAGGAAGCTTGCCAAAGCTTTCAACGAAAAATCTGCAATAACTATACGTCTCTCGCACAACGAATTGGCTGGTTCTGACGAGATGATGTTGACGCAGACACAGATCAAAAAGATCAAAAAAGCAATAAATGCCGGGAAAGGAGTTGATTTGAAAATCAGCAAGACGCAAATGACAAAAGTTGTCCAAAAAGGCGGGAGTCTCTTTTCTTCACTTCTCGCTCTTGGTACAAAACTTCTCCCAAAAGCGATGAATCTTGCCACAAAGGCTCTTCCAGGATTGGCAACGGGAGCACTTTCAAGTTTGGGCAATTTTGCCACTGATAAGCTTCTCGGTGCTGGTCAGGGTCACCCTTCGGTCTCTTCGAAGTCGGGTGGCCTGATAATTCCAAATTCAAATATTATGAAACTTTTGCCGTATGTGGACGCTCTTTCAAAGAAGCAGAAACAGGGCCTTGCAAATGCTCTTAACTCTGGTGGCGACTTGAAAATGAAGCCGACAAAAAGTCAGAGTGGAGGTTTTCTCGGAACTCTTCTCGCTTCGATCGGTGTGCCGATACTTCTCAAAGCGTTGACCGGAAGTGGAAATTCGAGAGGAAGAGGGTTACACGTTCACGCTCCAAAAAAGAGTGGTAAAGGTTTACACGGAAGTGGCTTGCAAAACAGGCCGTATTGGGATGAACAACCAATTTTCTTTCCTCCGGGATTGGGCGAACCTGTACCGACAATTGGAAGAGGTGGGAAAAAAAAGCAAAAAGGACAAGGTCTGTTGCTAGGCAAAGACTCTCCATTCAACGGAATACCACTACTGGGGGCGCTATTGTAAAAAGACCTCCCTTCAAAAATGTGCCAATCACAAACCTCGACATTCAAAACTGGTGCGATTATCTCAAGATTCCAAACTTTGGAGGGGTGATATCCAGAGATCAAATAAAAGATTGCAAGGCGGGACACTCTTTCGTTATCAATCTGAACGAATCGCATGAGTCTGGTTCACACTGGATTGCGATGGTCTTTGGTTCCGATCTCATCTTGTACTTTGACAGTTTCGGCCTTGATCCGCCGCAAGAGGTGTTGAATCTTTGTAAAAAACATCGAGTCAATTATGCATTCAACAACACACATTATCAGGCATTGACCAGTGTATTGTGTGGTTATTATTGTATCTTTTTCTTGAATGAAACAAGTAAACGGATGAAGCCTTCTCTTGCACATCAAAGCTTGTATTCTATCTTCAACGATGTGGTAAAACCTCTATCACACAGTGATGCTTTTTCGAATGAACGATTTATAAAAAACTATTTTCTGAATATATAATAAACAAAATATGGGATATTCTGACGGTTATCATGAAATAGATCACAGACAAGAAGGGGCAAGCAAAGAAGGGCCTGAAGGACCACCAGGACCAAAAGGAGAAAAAGGTGATACAGGATCACAAGGGCCGAAAGGAGATAAGGGAGATACAGGACCACAAGGATCAAAGGGTGATACAGGTGATAAAGGTGATAAAGGTGATACAGGATCGCAAGGACCAAGAGGGCCAAGAGGGTTGCAAGGACCTGCTGGATCAAAGGGTGATAAAGGTGATAAAGGTGATACAGGTCCGCAAGGACCTCGTGGACCAAGAGGGTTGCAAGGGCTAAGAGGCCCGGCTGGATCAAAGGGTGATAAAGGTGATAAAGGTGATAAAGGTGATAAAGGTGATAAAGGTGATACCGGTCCGCAAGGGCCTCGTGGACCTCGTGGTTCAGGTAGTAACATCGATCTTTCAGATTTGAAAAAGGCGATAACTTTCACAAGCACACATGGAGCGGACCGACAGGTTACGGGTCTAAGCGATCAGCCGCTCAATGGTACTGCTGCTGTAAATGAGAATAAACTCAACACCGAATTAGCTAAAAAAGCCGATTCATCAACTGTATTGAACGGACTAAGCGGTAAAGCAGATACAGCATCTGTTTTGCTCTTGGATGGCTCTCAAAAGATGACGGCCAATCTCGATATGAATGGTAAAGATGTCATCAATACAAAGAGATAAAATTACCTGAATATGACTACAAGTCAACAAGCTACATATGAAAATTCAAACACACTCATTTCTCGGTATGAAGCGGGTGCAATGAAAAGACATCTCCAAGGTTTTCTCGATATTACTTGCCTTAGCAATGCAAATCAACAATACGTTGATAATACAAAGAAGAGAATACCTAGCTTTCGCAACTTGAATGACAAACAAATCTTAGATGCAAGAAAACGTAAAATCGTGAATCTGCCTGACACCTTCTCAGATAATGACGAAGCTGTAAGCAAAAAGTATGCGGATACAAAGCTGAGCAAGGCAGGTGATGCAATGACCGGTGATCTTGCAATGGGTGTCAACAAAATCACTTCTAGTCATACGGCCGCAGCAGATAACGATCTTGTGAACAAAAAGTTTGTCGAAGATCGATTGGCTCACAACTTAACACCAGCCCAGCTGACTAACAACCTTTCTTACATCATGAGCAAAAACGGTCAGTTTAGTGATGAAGATGATATAACAGAAAAACCGATTACAGATCAGGTTGCTCTGTACCCCACTAATCCCAGAACAAAGCCGTTTGATTTAAGTCTCGACACTTCCAAGGGTTATTATTCATCACGTTTTGGTGTAAATATGTATTCAGCGAGTAAAGCAGAATACACTGTCGTTTGTGAGTTGTGTTGGCAATCGAGTAAAGTCGATCCGAACTCTGTGACACTGACAGCAACATCTTCTGTCGAAACAATTTCAACACAGCGTAGCAATCGATTTGAAAATCACATCATCGCCTTGATTCACATGACGAAATGGAGTAACGCAACACCTAATTATTTGATGTTTGACGTAGTGATCAAAAACAAATCTGGCCAGTCATACGATCAGAAACTTCCCATCTGGGTGATAGTCTATGGATCAAGGGGTTATCACAATAGCATACCGAAATCTGTTTGGACAAGTTGGTACAGCTTTGAGAGTGGTGGAGTTCGTATAAATTCTGCGCTTACTCTCGCAAAGCAACCGTCTGTCGCCTCTTCAGCGGTAACGAAAAAGTATGTCGATGATATCCAAACATCTTTACAGACAAAGATCGATTCAAAAGCGACAAAGACGGCGCTGACAAACGCAACAAAAAAGATCTGGTATAGAGGAAACTGTGCTCATAACAACGCGTCACAGGTGAGATTCTACGTAAATGGAACATCAGATCATACCACAAACGTTTCACAGAGTGATAACGCTGATTTCACAGTGAACAGTTCAGACAACACAAAACTCATAATCAACAACGCTGGTATGTATCTGATTACATACATCGACGGTGTCAAGGCTAAACATTCATATCATCTCAGATTTATCTTGAGCAATTCGTTTGTGAGGACGACAAACGGTATATTGATACCGCTGCCCAACACACATGGAAATACATGGGTTAATACCGCTAATACCGTTCTGTTGTATTTCCAAGCGAACACATCGTTGAGTATAGAGGCAGATAACAGCTCTGTTCAACTCGATGGACTGGATTGGAGCTATCTGATGATTGTGAAGCAGGATTCATTCGAGAGGGTAAACCCCCTCGAGCTCCCCTTTTTGATTATTTTTTTATATTTTCTTGTGAAATATAAAAATGGATTACACGGAAGTGGTTTACACGGGAGTGGCTTACACGTCAAAAATTGTACAAGCATCTAATCATATTGATTACACCATTGATAAACAGACATTGTCATTGCTGCAATCTTTGCATGATCGTTTTTACAGGCTCGATTTTGTTATGAAGTATGTAAAGGGATTGTTCAAAAAGAAAGGAATTGCACTCGATGTTGCCGGTGTGATTCTTGGTGTTGGTGCGGCTGTGCCGACATCTATCACTGTGAATCCTTTGCTAGCTTTGATTGCACTTGTTCCAATGACGATTGTAAAAAAGTACAAGGACTTTAAAAAATATGATTTGAAAATCGAAAAACTCAACATCGCTTTGTCTGTAAACAATTCGATATTGACACACTTGAATCATTCGATGAGAGAGAATGGAAAGTGGAGTATGAGTGATTTGGAATGGATTGAAAAGTATGAATCGTTGATCAATGATTTGGTGCCAAACTTGGCGCATGCGTCATATCACAAAAAATACAGAGATTATGTTAAAAAAAGGTTTGATATGTTAGGTTAAAACCTAACCTTTATTACATTGCGAGGGGGTCTACCAGGGTAAACCATTATTACACTGGAAGGTTTACTCTCATGCACATCCCAATTGTAAAGCTTTTTTACACGAGGTGACGAGGCCTTGCGAGAGGGATTACTCTCATACACTCCCCAATTGTAAAGCTTTATTACACGAGGTGACGAGGTCTTGCGAGAGGGTGGTGGTGTCTCGCCATTCATTATTTCATTGATTATTTCATCTTTTTTCGATTTATCAACCATTTTTATTAAATACAAATATTTTTATTTGTATTTAATATTTTTTTAAGTAAAGTATGCTTTTATTTTACTCAAAATTTATCTGAGATTTTTTAGGATAAACCTGTATTATTATGCGAGAGGTGGTTTTGTATTTATTTTGTCTGGAAGAATGATTCGCTTGTCATCATTTGCAGACAATGTGAGATCTGCTCTGTTGTAAACACGTATTACACTGCAAGAGGGACTACCCTGTCGTGTTGGTGGTGGTGGTAGTGGTGGTGATGTTACCAAGATTTTTTGTAAGATTTTTCCAAGATTTTTCGCAAATGCTTTTAATTGCAGTACTATCATATCTTTTATTTCGACCATTTTATTCATTGCAAATATTTTTATTCAATGCAAATATTTTTTATTAAAATCATTTTTTTTTTGTTCGTTGTTCATAACATCATTCATAACATCTGCAGCTGTCGTACATTCAGACTCTAGTACCACAGATTCGGCATTTGGACGAGGCAAGAGACGTTTCATTCCCATTTTACTGGGTTCTACGACAGCCTCGTATAGTTTTACTTGCAGTGAAATACGAGCACCAATAAAGATGGACTCAATCTTTATCGCACAAGTTGCATGACAGTATTTTCCCATCAGCGTAAGTGCATCTATCGGTTCGTCATTTAGATCGAAAAATTGTGTGCGAAACTTGTCTTGTTTTTTCGAGTAAATCAGTTTTGCGTACAATGTTGGACCGCGACTGGGATCCTTTTGTTGAACAGTCTTTCCTGTCTTTTCATTTAAGACTTTTTGCATTTTCCAATAAAGAGGATTTAAACCACCTTTAGACTTTGTCAGATCACTGCGTTCCAGCTCAAACATGTCGATTTCTTCGCGATTTTCAACCAAGTGATCTATTCAGCAATCGACAATGGCATTAAAAGTCTCGATCCAAATCTTCTCTTCTTCTGTAGCTCCGTCGCGGTTCCACAAACACAGAGGAAATGTGTAACCAGTGACTTTGCCGGTCTCTTGACTCGTATTTTCTGAAATTCCAAATGAATACAGGCGTTCTGTGGGAAGGATAAGTTCACCTTCTGTCCCGTCTTCATTGAGAGTAGAAATGTTGATTCTCTTGAACTCGATTTTTGGTTTGCTGTCTGGAATCTCTCCCGAAATGGGTTTAGAAAAGATCATGCGTTCTTTGGGATTGTAACCATCAACGGTCGTTAACTGTGTGTGTACGGTATCTGTCATTTTGCTTTCTCGTTTTTTAATAATTTTTTCTCTTTTTTCTATTTCTTTAAATCATTTTCAATCAGAAAAATCTCAGTCAAAATTTGGGCAAAATTTTCTGATTAAAAAAATGTGATCGGACGCCACCAATTATTCAACTACTATTTTATTCAATACAAATATTTTCTTAAAAAAATTTTTTTAAGAAAAGTATACCAAAAATCTCAGTCAAAATTTATCTAAGGTAGTAGTAGTAGTTGGTAGTAGTAGTTGGTAATTTATCTAAGATTTTTTGTTCAGGATAAACCTGTAATATTACGCGAGTGTGACTACCATCTTGTCTGTTCCAGCTGTAAAGCAGTATTATTCTGTGAGGATTACCCTGTCGAAGAGGGGGATTAGCCTCTCGCACTAGCCTGTTGTAAAAAAATTGTGGTGGTGGTGGTGGTGGTAATGATGGTGGTGGTAATGATGGTGGTGGTGGTGGATTTATAAGTATGAGTATTCTTTCATCTTTTTCATCTTTTTCATCTTTTTGTTCAATCTTCATTTTATCTTTTATGTTTATTTTTAATTTCTTAAATCAATTTTTTTTTATTAAAGAAAAGTATACCAAAAATCTCAGTCAAAATTTAGGCAAAATTTGGGCGAAAATTTGGACGATAATTTATGCAAATTTATGCAAATTTATGCAAAATCCGCTAGAATTGGCAATAATGCAACTACTCAGCTGTAAAGACCTAACACTACTGCGTACCTGAAATACCACCTCAGGGAATTAGGACTCAGGAGCCGTTTTCCATAACGGATGTTATTAAAATAAGATTTTTTTGTTGTTGTTGTTGTGGTCGTTCTTTTTGTTGTGGGTGCTGTTTTGGGACTAATTTACAATTCGCTTCCCGATTATAAACAATTTCCGTACCAAAATGTGAAAGATTCATTTTCGATTGCCGATGGGGATTTCAAATCTTTCCTTAGGGAATGTATCAATAAATTTGGATCAAAATTCACAAAAGTGAGTTGGTAGACAGAGGAGGAGGCAGCTTTTGTTTTTTTCGGAAAGAAACTTAAACAACGCCGTTTCACTTGCTTTGAAATGTTGTACATTTTTATGCTTTTATTCAATCATTTATTTATTTATTTAAGCATTTTGTGCTTCAAAACATGTAACACTGCAAAACGTATGTCTTCACAGCGAAAGTTACCCTAATTAACCAGATGAAATGAAAATAATTCCTGTTTTCTTACGCAAATTATGCTTAATAGTATTACAACAAGGGTTGCCGGAGAGCGCATGAAGATGTTTTACCCAATAAGAATTAAACAATTCACTTGCATCTGGAAATACGTTTCGCCTCGAAAGTTTTTACAGTGAC